CTCTTATGTTAGACTAGTCCCTTATAAGACAGGATTCCCCTGATACTCTTATCAGTGGCTAGCCCTCAATAAGGCGGGTGTCCAAGGATCCTTACTACTCTTACCACTAAAAAGAATGTTAGGTTTGATCAATGATAAGGAAGGTGTCATTGAATCCTCACAACTCTTATATCAGACTAGTCGCTGATAAGACAGGATTCATCTGCTACTCTTATCAGTGGCTAACCCTCAATAAGGCGGGTGTCCAAGGATCCTGTTCTTACCACTGACAAAATGTAAAGCTCACCGGAGTTAAGGCAGGTTGTCCCTGCTATTCTTACCTCCACACAAGCCTTATTGATAGATCAAGTTATCGCTTTCGATGACACTTGTGCCCTAAATCGTTACTAGTTTGAGAAATTCTTCTGGATCAGATGCATAATGAGAAATGATCAGTGTGATCCATGGCAATAGCAAACTCAAATCAAGGTACCCATCATCGTTTAGATGAAGTGTAGAGAGAATGATCGCGAGAGGTTGGTGACTTGTATCCATACCTCTCAATCAATGCCCACAGCAAGTTTGTTGTATCCAGAATCAATCGATTTCCACTCAGCCACCCCTTTCCTCTACCCGCAATCCAAGACCTTTGTCCATCCCTTAACCTTTGAAGGTTTTATCGATCCTGAATTCCTAACCTTTATGAGCATCATTGCGGATGGTAGCCTATTATGTTCTAAAATAGCAATTGGGGCAGAGTATCGTACCTCGTCGTTCCCTGCCTCCAAAGATCCGCCTGAACTTCGGCAGAGCTCCCGCAATCGCCCTGTTACATGGATCAAATGTGGAACGGAGTCCATTTGTGCATGAGTCCTGATCTCAGTAAGCCATTTGAAAATACTATTTCACTCTTGTTGTTTGAAAATGGTTATGTGCTTATGGTGGGGTTTAGGCATAGGGAAAAGCGGAGGAGGATAAAGGATGTAAGAGTCGTCATACTTGTTGGCGCCCCTCCTTCACTCTGTTGCCTCGCACCCCTGTCCGATTCTGATTCCTATTCTAGTATGTGGTGCCAGTGGCAATAGTAGCAATGATAATAATAGTAAATATAAAAATAATAATAATAATAATAATAATAATAATAATAATAATAATAATGTCACTAATAATAATAACAATGATAACAACAGTGGTGTGATTGATATCCAACCCTAAGTTGCGAGACCATTTAATCGTCTGAGTAGTTGTATACGAGCAGCTAACATCATAGCACCAGCCAAACAGAGCAATATAATGATATAATGAGCCAAAACCCAGTTTATACTGCTTGCCTACCCTCCTAATCTCGCACTCACGCAACAGGCCTACTTTGATAGCGAAGTCCAATCTATATGACGACATACTTAGTGCAGACTGCGATTGTATGCCGGGTACGTTTTTTCTTTCCTCTTTCTCTATTTTCTCTCTCTTTGTCTGTCTCACTCTTGGTGTGTATGTGTCTCTCACCGCGTATTGCCGCTTCCGTCACAGGCTGCGTCCCATTGCGTATGTCGCAGTCTGTGTTCCATGTATGCGTGACCATGGTGAATTTGCGGTGCAATGACGTGTGGTTCGCGGCACCGGACCAGTCAGTCCCAGAAGTAAATCAAGAGGCTGTGCACAACCATTCATTCATTTCCTCTGGAGCTATGTGAAAGCATTGCTACAGTGTCTTATGCAATAATGCTCTATGGATGCCCAGAGTGCTTAGTGGCATGTGTGCTGCGTGAGCGCACAACATCATGCGTGAGACAACATTCGCAGTGAGAGGGAACTCCAAGCATTGCTTACGGGTCGGCGGGCCAAAGAGAGTTGGAGAAAGGGCGGGAAGTAGGAGACGGAATGGCCGAGTGAGAGAGGATGCTACGGGGAAGAATCTTGGGGGGCTCCAAGACCCCGGCCACGGGTTGAGGAGCTGGATCCCTCTTGGTACAAGCCGTACGATCCGGTGATCGATGGGCTTATGGAGGGGCCCTATTTCCTCCAATACGACGACCGACGAGTCCCCTACTACGATGTCAACTTGGGCCTGGAGGCGCTCTTCTTCGACGGGCGTGATGTGACGGGGTTCGTCGAGAAATAAGAGAGTTATGCTTACCGAAAGAGATTTTCCGAAAAAGAGTGGATAGATCACTTCATCCAGCACTCGGACCCGGAATTGGATCCTGCGATAAGGGCGATATACCCTACGGATGGACGATGGAGGACGTTCAAAGGTAGTTTATTACGAATGTTCGCATGTGATGATTTGGTCCCCACAGTGGAGGGTTTGCGGCGTGCTATGAGGGGGGAACGGGAGAGCTTGGTGACCTTCACCCGCCGGTTCAAGCGCTTGTCCCGAACCCTACTGGATAAAGGGATGTTGTCGGAAGTGGATAGGTGCGTAATGTTTATGCTACACCTACCAGAGGAGAAAAGGAAGGAGGTTCTTGAAAAAGCCCCACGGATTCTGCCAATTTCGAGAAAGTCGCCGAGGTGGTCTTCACAGGGGGAGGAGTGGACGTGAGAGAGTACATGAAAGAAACCCTGGACATGGCGCTCTGCAATATGAGTAGTTCACGGAACGATGGCCCTAGGGGAAATGACAGGCCACCCCCGCGTCCGCCTTGTCCGCCTGGTCCACGATGGGGGGAACGGCCGACGGGATGGAGAAACGAGTCAGGAAACCACGGAGGTTGGAGGAATGACCGAGAGGTAGGGGGGAACCGAGGTCCCGATTGGGGGAGTTCCCATTGGAAGGATGCTAGAGATGGGAGGTGGGGAGACACGCCTCAAGTGAGGGTCTCTGGGATGCGACCCGAGGTTAGGGCTCCGCCACCACCGGCACCACCACCGCCGGCTCCTCCTATGCCTGCAGCCGCTACGACTCAAGGTGGGGCGCGTCCCAACAACCCGCAAGCTCGAAGAGGGTGTGTTTATTGCAATGAAGAAAGTCACATCAAAAGGGACTGTCCTTATCTTACGGAGGCCTTAAGGTTGGGGGTGGTAAAGCTAAATGAAAACAAATAGGTTGTGTGGGGAGATGGGGGAGAGGCGGTCTCCTTCTACCCGTCGATGAAGGTAAATGTGGACAAGAGAATAGCGCTCCAGGAGGCGAGGCTGGGGAAGAAGCCTGAAATTGGGGGCACCTCCAATACATCCCACATCCAAATGACGGAGTCACCTGGGGGGGTATCCTTTAGGGATCCCCAGGTGTCCAGCATTAAGTTCATAGAGACCCAGCTTGAAGATGAGAGGCCTTGCCTAAGGGTGAGAACACAGGTTGGGGCCGAGACGTCTAAGAGCCAAGAGAGTGTGACGGAAGATGCGGGAGGAAGGAGCGGCGACAACGACCAACCAATGGCCGATGCCGAAGTTGTGGAAGAAAAGAAGGAGGAACCCACTTCACCCAAATCGCCTAGGAAGAGAGGACCGAAGAAGTTCGAAATGAAGTGCACCTTGGATGAAATAGACACTGTAGCCCCCCTCAGGAGAACCTTGATGCAGCCTATGCAGTGCACGCTTCAAGAATACCTAGCTGCGAGCAAAAGCGCTAGGGAAGAACTCCTAAGCATCACGAAGAAGGTAAGAGTCCCGCTCGCGGGGGGACCCACGGTACCGAGGGAAGGTCCAGCCAAGGAAGAAGTACAGTCCTCCCGCATTACCATGGAGGAGCTGCCGGCTAACTTCTTCTCAGGAGAGGAGCCCAAAAAATTCTATGTGTTAGGGAGCGGCCAGCTCCAAGCGATGGTGAGTGGGAAGAAGATGAGGGCTCTAGTGGACAATGGGTCCAAATCTACGGTGTGTCGGGACTCCATCGCCCGGGAGCTAGGCTTGAAGATAGATCGGGGAGTATCGATGTCGATGGTAGTGGCGGATAACAAGCTACAACCGGCGGAGGGGGTGTGTCATAACCCCGTGATCGAGGTCGCGGGCGTCGAAACCTCGGTCCTAATATTTTCGGTAAAAGAGTGTTCCTCCGAGTTGATCCTCGGTAGAACCTGGCTGAGCGCGGTTCACGCTACCACGGTTGACCTGCCGGATGGAAGTCAGACCCTCTCGATCCAAAGTCCGGATGGAATCCGAGTGGTCCTAAAGACCGTAGACGCGCAAGATGAGTGTAACCGGACCAACATTCCTAGACGCAAGGGGAACCAATCAAGGGTGTGCCAGGTCCGTCTAGAGGGGGCACTCTCTACGGATAAGGAACCCCCGGGAAACCGACTGAAGGTCGAGGACGTCGGGAGTAGGGTTGTTATCAACGGGGTAGGGTACGAGAAGGAGGACGAGGAGGAGGAGTTCGGAGGATGTGTGAGTCTGTCTTTTTTGGAGAAATCTCCCTAGCAGGCGGAATCAAAAAACATAAAACTGTGGCGGAGAAAGTGAAACCCGCCGCGGTCAGTCGGGATAGAACGGGGGAAGCTACAATATCGGAGGAGGAGATAGCCGATATCATCCGAAAAAGGAAGGAGACGGAAGGACAGAGGATTACGATTGATAGATTGGCCAAGATGGATATAGGAGATGGGAACCTCACGGGAGAAGAAAATAAATTCATAGCTATGACCCTGAGGGGTTGCGACAAGGTCATAGCTTTCGATGACTCAGAGAGAGGGAGAATTGGCCCAAGGTATGCTAAGCCGGCCCGGATCCACACGATTCCACACGTACCTTGGAAGGATAGGCCCCAGTGGAAATATGCTCAAAAGGAGAAGGAGGAGATGGTGACTTTTATCAAGGAAAAGATCAGGACGTTCATCGCGGAGCCTTGTGAGAGTGCTTACTCCAATAAGTGGTTCTTTCTGAGAAAGGGGGGTAGCAACAAACTAAGGTGGATTCAGAACCTCCAAAGGACCAACGCGGTCACTATAAGGGACGTGGGATCCATACCGGAGGCGGACCTACTTGCGGAAGGGTCGGCGGGTCGCTCGATATACTCAATCTGCGATCTCTTCTTGGGGTATGACGAGATCCCCTTGGACTATCGGGATAGGCACATGACCGCCATGCATACGCCTTTAGGGCTGGTCCAAATAATGGTGATACCGATGGGGTGGACGAATGGCGTAGCGGTGTTCCAAAGGGCCATGATTGCGGTCCTCAAGGAGTTCATACCGGAGAAGGTGGAGGTCTTCCTAGATGATTTCCCGATAAAAGGGCCGGTTGAACGAGATGAGACGAAAGTCTTTCCGGGGGTGAGAAAATTCGTAGCCGGCCACATGAGCGATGTTAGGGACGTCCTTGTGAAATTGGACGATGCTAACCTCACGGTGAGCGGAACCAAGAGTCGATGGGGTGTGTCGTCCATCAAGATATTGGGTTTTATTTGCGACAAGGATGGGCAGAGGCCCGATCCTGAGAAATTAGCAAAATTGATGACCTGGCCTTCGCCGCTCAAGTCCATCACGGAAGTTAGGCAATTTCTAGGGGTGGTGGGCTACTGGAGAATCTTCATAAAAGGCTACGGTGAGAAAGCGGAACCTCTTACGCGACTACTTAGGAAGACGGAAGGATGGATTTGGGGAAAGGAGCAGGCAGTGGCCATGGAAGCCCTAAAAGAGGAGTTCCGCGAAGCGGGGCAGGTCCTAGGCGTTTCATTCTTCGAGGACGAGGAGAGTCGTCCATTTATAGTTTCCACGGACGCGGGGCCTTACTCGGTAGGGGGCCTCTTATCCCAAAAGCATGGAGAGGGGAAGGAGAGACCGTTACGGTTCGAGAGTAGGACCTTGAACCCCGACGAGAGGAATTATAGCCAGTTCAAGAAGGAAGTGTTGGGAGTGTTGCATTGCCTGAAGGCTTTCCGCCATTACCTATACGGGCGACGACTTCTCCTAAGGGTGGACCCAACTGCAGTGGCCGCGGTCCTTCAAAAAAATTTCTCGCTGACCGATCCGACCATCGCCCGATGGATGATACATATTAGGCTTTACGATTATAGGGTCGAGAGGATATCAGGGTCCAAAAACCAGGTTGCGAACGGGTTGTCCCGGCTTCCCTTTTGTGAAGAGGACCTACCGAGGCTTAAGGAGGAAGAGGTATCAATGGCCGAAGGAGGGGTAATGAAAGTCGCCGCTAATAGAACACAAATAGCGGTGAGCAGCCGGGAAGAGGAAGGGGCCTCAATGACTTTTCTCGCTAATCTCTACGACGGGAAGTACCGGGACATAGGACTGTATTTAGCCGGAAGGGAGGCAGGAACCGAGAGAGTCCAGCAAGAAGCGTTGGGATATTGCCTACGAGGGGGCCATCTCTTCAAGAGGCCCACGAAGTTTGCGATCCCCATGAGGGTACTGTGTGATCCGGAGGAAAAAAGAGCAGTCATAGAGGAGCTACACGACGGAGTCGTTGGGGGCCATAGGGGGGTAAAGGGTACTTTCGATGAAGTCCGTAGGCTCTATTGGTGGGACGGGCAGTACATGAAAGTCGAGAAGTACTGCTCGACGTGTGAGGCTTGCCAAAAGAGGGCGATGGTTCGATAGAAAGAGCCCCTGGTTCCATCGCTTCCCACCATTCCAGGAGAGAAGGTCCATGTGGACTTAGTGACTACGCCAAAAGGGATCCGCGGGCTTCGGTATATAATCAATGCCCGCGATGACCTCACCGGATTCGTAGAGGCCAAAGCCATTAAGAAAAAGACGGCGGACGAGGTGAGCAATTTCCTCCAAGAATACATCGCTCGGTACGGATGCGTCGGGAAAATAGTCATGGATCGGGGGTCGGAGTTCTTGAGTCAAAAGGTCAAGACATTGTTGGAAAAGGCAGGGATAAAGGCGGCATATACAACCACTTATCACCCCCAAAGCAACGCGCTGGTTGAGAGAGGACACCAAAACATTTGTAGACGCCTTGGCAAAATGGTGCAAGGGTCGTGCGGAACAATGGCCTAAATTCTTGCGGTACGCGGTTTGGGCCGATAATATCACGGTCAAATCCAGTACGGGGTACCTCCTTTCACCCTTTGGTTCGGTAGGCATTGTCCCCTACCCATCGAGTTCCACGTCGACACTTGGACGAGTGTCTCGTGGAAAACCGACATGACTAGGGATGAGTTGTTGGAGGCACGGATACAGCAAATAGCCGAGAACTTGGATGCCGGGCTAACCGAGGCAGGAGAGAATGTCGGAAAAGAGAGGGCGAAAGGAAAGGATAGGTCGGACAAACATCTGCGGGGACGAAAGACGCCAATAGGGGTTAACGACCTGGTGCTGATGTACGATTCGTCGCTAGAAAAGACCTGGAGCCGGAAATTGGCAAACCGATGGATGGGGCCATATAAGGTCCTCAAGAGATTGGATGGGGGGGCTTACATGCTCGCGAAATTAGATGGGAGTGGGCTACGGGACCCTATCGCGGGGGCTCGTCTCAAAATCTTCCGATCAAGAGGGACCCTTGGGGAGGAGCCGAAGCGGAAAGGGGAGAAAGCTATTGACACAGAGGTGACCGTAACCCACGAAAAAGGGGAGACCTCCAAACAAGGGGCCTCTTCTCAACCACCAAAGAAGGGGTATACGGTTCGGAAACCTGCCCTACCAAAGACCCCTAGGAAGAAGAAATGAACGAGAGAGGATGACGGAGATGCTGACTGATTAAGGAAACGCAGGTTGAGCGAAAGAAGGAATGCGTCAAGAAAGGCCCTGAGACTCAAACGTGAGAGAAAGGAGAGAAAACGGAAGAGAGAGGGGCGCGAGAAGAGGATGAGGAGACGGAGACGGGCGTAAAAAGGGGGAGGAGAGTGGTGTACCATAGTTAGAAAAACGTGTTCCGGGAAAGGTGATATGTCGAAGGGGAAGTTGTGCCATAATGTACCATAGTTAGAGAAATGGGTGTCGTGAGGGGCGATGAGTCGTAATCCCAAGAGGATATTGTACCATAGACCGGTGTCATGGGGTAGGAATGTGCCGTGGGTCATGGATGGCATCGTGACAAGACAATGGGGTTAAGCCTGGTGAAAAGAAAAGGACAACGTAATCTAACCGGGAAAATGGGATGAGACGGGAGAAACATTTCATCGGTAAACATTAGGCAAAGGGTCATGAAAGAGACTCGCCGGGGACGGCGAGAATTGGGGTGTGGGCTGGTTGTCGGGCGGCTGCCTACCAGCCGATGGCTTTTTTTTTCAAAATAAACAATACTTTTTCTCTTACTGCTGTTTTTTTTGCATGGTTTTGACGTGTGCATGAATGAGGGTATGCCGTTTGGGGGTGTCCTCGGGCATCCGGGTCTTCACACTACCCGTTCGATTGGCTGGAGCGACGATAAAAGATTGGAGTTTCGGCATCAAAGGCTGAGTACGCAGGACGGACGATGAACAGCAGGGTGGGCCTAAGTCGAATCCAAAACGGAGAGCCATTGGGGCCCTGAGTGACTCTTGGACTACCAATGGAGTACTTGTCGGGATCTGGTCACACCTAGCTTGGGCTGAGCCGCCGGAAAATCGGGTAACACGATGGACTCGACGGCCGGAGGCGATGGTAAGACTACGTCGAAATGTTGGAGTTCTGACCCTCGTGAGGCCGAGATCAGGGCAGACTGTGGAGCTTTGTTACGATCAGTGATCGATTGTCAAAATGGGCAAGGGGCTGGCTTCCACATGGTCGCCACAAGGAGGTTGACCATTCTACTTGCCAAGAAAGCGGGGTGGTTCCGCTGGGCGAAGGTCGGGGTTCCAGTTGACAGACGAGCTAAGGAGGCCGGACCTCGGGCTCGAGAAAAGGGGAGAGAGTTATGAAATGATGAAGTATGCGGGGGGGGAAGGACCGTGGTGGCCGCCCTGATTGCTGAGCGCGGGGCAGCTCTTAGCTGTAGCCATCAGGGTAGGACACAAGACCCCCTGCTAAGGGCAGGGCGAGCCGGATGAGAAGCCTGAGTTGGGTCGGGCACAAGCAAGAACCTGCAGAACCAGGAGCGCATGGGCAGCGGGCGGATGGGGAGGGGCCTACAGAGGCTATCCAGCTGGGAGGAAGTTAAAACGAAAGAGAGGAAGACGAAGGGCTGGGCTAGCTGTCGCAACTACGACAAGGGACGAGATCTGAAGAACTGCGATGCACAATAACTGTTTGGGAAAGAAAGCAACCATTTTCTTGGACCTGCGATAAGAAAGAAGCGACCCTTAGTGGGGCGCCGAGGTGAGATGTCGTGTGGCGACTGGTGATAGGTCCCGTCTGAACTCGGCTGCAGCTGGAAAGAGGAACGCCACGAAAGCTAAGAGAAGGAGGCCGGCTCGAAAAGAAAAGTGGGTCCCGAAGTGGGGGGGGGGAGATAAGAAGAGGCAAAGGGGGAGTTGCGCGATCACTGCGGAGATTGGAAGAAAAGAGAGGCTTGCAAGTCGGGATTGTGGGGCCAAGTGGAAACCAAAGGGGGGAAGAAGAAAAGGGACAGAGAAGGAGGAATCGATACGTCTGGCCAACTGCCGACGAAAGGGACTTCGTGAAAAGATGGGAAGACAGGCGGGGGAGAAGGCAGGTAAACAAGCTGGGTAGCTGGGCGGCGAGCTCGTCACGGTGCAGGATACAGTATGATGGGCATTGGCTGGTCAAGAAGCGAGGAGAATCGCGAAGTAACCAAGGAAAAGGGAGGAGGCCACGCGCCCAGCCGGAGAAACGGTTGACGAAAGGCGAGCGCGCTGTGCTCTTCTTGACAACGAACGGACAGACGAGTTCGGGAAGCGGTCGTATCATACGGGCCGGACCGGACCGGACACAGAGGGTAAGAGTGAAGGGAGGCCTACCTAAGGCGGGAGAGAGACGAGAAGTGAATGTTGCGCAGTGAGAGGGAACTCCAAGCATTGCTTACGGGTCGGCGGGCCGAAGAGAGTTGGAGAAAGGGCGGGAAAATCGGTCGAGAGGAAAAGTTGTTAAGCATCCCGAGGCGGGAAGGTAGAAACTCGGGGCGAGAGCTACAAGGAAGTAAGAGCGGGAGGATGGGTCGAAAATAAGGAGGAGGAAGCGGGAAAAGCTGAAAATTTCGAAGGATTGAGGGTGGCCTAAGGAGGAGTCGATGATTGGAAGAAAGATGCCAGGAGAGGATTGATCTGGGAGGAGTAGAGGACAAGAAAATAGTATAAAGGGCACAGAGCTAGGAGGCGAAAAAAAAAGCGTGCACGGGCGTCCGAGAGGAGCGTCGAAGCGCACGAAAACGAGCGCACGCATTCGGGCGCACGGGTTGGGAGTCGCTACTGTGGAAAGCGGTGCACCGCTATACTACGCCCGGACGCACGAGCCAGAGGAGTACTGAGCGGTGAGAAGGAGAGGGAGAGAGGGAAGGCCTCGCGCACGAAGGGCACGGAAGACGGGAGACATAGCTAGGAGAGCGCTCGTCAGCACGCGGTCTCGAAGCGGGGCGCACGAGCGCGGTAAGGACGGAATCGAGAGAGAGGGCAAGGGGGTCGCGCGAGGGCAGCGAGCGTCTCGGCGGGGTGACTCGCGATAACTGGTCGAGCACTCGTGAGGCCCACGCATCTGATCTCTAGCGCAGGCTTCACAGACTCGACAACACTCCGGTGCTCGGAGTTCGGAGCGCTCGACGCCAACTCGAGACCTACGCCGAGGAGCAGAGAGAGAGAGAGAGAGAGAGAGAGAGAGAGAGAGAGAGAGAGAGAGAGAGAGAGAGAG